TAAACATTTACCTCAAGTAGACACATGCCCTGGAGAGACCAATCATGGGAGAAGGAAGGGCTGCTTATGCACAGGGAGACAGCTCAGGGGGCAGGACAGTATGGAGGGATGGACACTGAGAAGAGGTAACTATGGGGAGGAAGTGGGGGGGTGCTGTTGCATTGTGGTAAACTGTGGTCAATGACATGAGACAAAGTATATGTGAACTGCTTTATGGAAAGTGAATTTGCTCTGTAAATCTTCATCAAAATCACAATTAAAAAAAAATATATATATCACTGTGCTTCAAACAATACTATGAAGAAGGTGAAAAGACAACTCACAGAATGGAAGAAAATACTTCCTAATCATAAAATTAAGATAGTCTGCTTCTGTAAAGTTTTACAGCCCTGGAAATCCAATGGGCATCACTATGAGTAGGAATTGACTGGATGGCAGTGAGTTTTTTTTCCTGAAGATGGCTAAAATAAAAAAGAGAAGACAATAAAAAGTGTTGACAAGAACTTGGAACCCTCATTTGGTGTTGGCAGTAATGTAAAATGATATGGCTGTTGTGAAAAGTCTGATGGTTCTTCAAAAAGTTAAACACAATTTTCATATGGCCCAGCAATCCCACTCCTGGATATAGGTATACATACACTCAAGAGAACTATATCCAGATGTCTACATTAAAAAGTTGAACACAAATATTCATAGCAGCACTATTCCTAAAAGTCAGAAAGTAGAAGCAACTCAAATGCCTATCAACTGATACATGCATAAACAAATGTGCTATAACCAAACAATCATAGAAAGGAATGAAGTACTAATACATATTGTAACATGGATAAACCTTGAAAACATGCTAAATGAAAGAAGCCAGTTATAAAAGGTCACATATTGGATTATTTCATTTATATGCAATGTTTAGAACAGATAAATCTAGAGAGAAAGAGAAAGTATCAGTGGTTTCCAGGGGCTGTGACAGGGGAAAAAGGGGGAGTGACTGCTAATGAGCATATAGCTTTTTAGGGAGGATGATAAAAATGTTCTAAAATTAGACTATGGTGATGGCTACATAAACCTGTTGCCTTTAAGTTAATTCCAACTCATAACAATTCTATAGTGTAGAAGTGGCTCCCTTGGGTTTCCAAGGTTGTAATCTTAACAAACAAACAAACAAAAAGCAGAGTGCCGTATCTTCCTCTTGCAGAATGGCTAAAATCAAAAACCAAACTCACTGTCATCAAGTTGATTTCGACTCACAGCGACCCCTCCTTGGGTTTCCGAGGGGGTATCACTACAGAAGTAGATTGCCCAATCTTCCTTCCGAGGAGTAGCTGGTGAGTTTGAACTGCCAGCCTTCTGTTTAGCAGTCAAATGCCTTAGGCACTATGCCACCACAGCTCCTTTGCAGAATGGCTAGCAGGTTCAAACTACTGACTTTTTGCTTAGCACTGGAGCACTTAACTGCTGCACAACCAGGGCTCCCTGATGGTTGCATAATCTCATGAGTATGCTAAAAAAAATAAATTGTACACTTTAAATGGGAAAATGTATGGTATTGAGTTGTATCTCAAGAAAGCTATGAAAATAAACAGACAATACACCTTTAAGACTGAAGAAGAATTACTATCTTTGAATTATAGTATTGGTGAAGAATATTAAATATACCATGGACTACCAGAAGAATGAACAAATCTGTTTTGAAAGAAGTACAGCTAGAATGTTCCTAAGAAGCGAGATGGTAAGATTTCATCTCATGTACTTTGGATATGTAATCAGGAGGGACCAGTCCCTGAAGAAAGACACCATGCTTGGTAAAGTAGAAGGTTAGCAAAAAAGAGGAAGACCTCAACGAGATGAACTGAGACAGTGGCTACAACAAGGGGCTCAAGCATAACAACTAATGTAAGGAGGTACAGGACCAGGCAGTGCTTATTCTGTTGTGTACAGAGTCAGTAAGTCAGAACCCACATCATGGCATCTAACAATATACTGTTAAAATAAACAGGTTAACATATAATGTGTTACATACTTTTGGTAACATACAGTACATGGTACACATTCAATACCTACTGGTTATTATGTTCACGTTGTTGTTGTTGTTATGTGCTGTCAAGTTGGACCTGATTCATAGCGACCCCTCCTTGGGTTTCCAAGGCAGTATGACTCCAGAAATAGATTGCCCCATCTGCCTTCTGAGGAGTGGCTGGAGGGTTTGAACCACCAGTCTTCTGATTAGCAGTCAAGTGCCTTAGGCACTACACTACTAGAGCTCATATAATGATGTTTTCTCTTCCTACATGTTTATTTGTTGTGTCATGAAAACAGGTTTAAATAAAACACGAGAAGACAGAGGAAAGTCCTATATTTGAGGACCTTAGTAAAGGGGTATCAGGACCTTCCCAATAATAAAATATTGGCATGTGCTAAATTATGTGACAAGGAATTTATTTGTTGTTCAGAGTGACAGAAAATTATGTTGCATATTATTATTATAGCTCAATCACTTGAAGACTTTTAAAACTGGCCTACTTTGAAAAACAAAAGCCGTTCTAGTCCCATAGCCAGCAATTCCCTCAATGTACTTAGAGTGAACAGGCTCAAAAAGCAGAACTACATACTCACATTCCTCAAGACAGGAAGGGCCAACTGCTCAAAGGAAGTCACATCAACCACGTACTGCCCAACTCGGAACTCACGTTTTCCAGGTGGAGGCTCTGACCTGAATGAAACGACATTGTGTTCTTTGTTGAAAGTCACTTGTATTGATTTCTGGTTTTGAGCTACTCCACTGAGACTATGTGGCCTATCTTGTAGGCTAAATCATCCTTTAAAAATCACTTACACAGACAGTGGTGTGTGCAAAACTGATCTGATTAAGTTTTTTTTTTTTTTTTCCCTGAAAGCGAAGCTACCAATAAGTATATGTACACAAACAATGGACCTGTAGTTACAATGGCAAGCTCCAACCATCTTTGAAAAGCAGCACTAAAAATGGGGCTAAGAATTACAGAGTGAAAGAGGTCCTAGTCCAGTGGACTAAATTTTAAGTGAAGCATTATTTTTGTACTTTGTTTTCTCATATAATGGTTTCAATCTCTGTATTTCTTTTCTGGGAAATTCCTAAAAGCCAAAGATTCTTAAAGTTAGAAAAGATCATTTGGTGCAACCTTCTGAAGGGAAAATAGTGGCATCCAAGGACTCACAAAGGCCTTACTAAACAATTCACTTAACTTTGTTTGAATTAGACTAGAAAAGCTTCCAAACATAGAGAGAAGGGCAGCTTAGAGGAAAAAACACAGTAGAAATTAAATTTAAGTACCCAATTCTAGATAAAGGGCCCCGAGTACCAGACAGAGTGACGACATCGAATCCTATTCTTCTTCCTCCTTGTCTGACTTCTTCTGTGTAAAATCCATCAACAGGCACTCTGGAGGACTTTAACGCCTCACTGGCTTTCCGAATCAATGTTGTTTTTCCAACCCCTACAAAACATGCCATTGGGAAATATTCTTGCTAGAGCATACACATGACTCCAAGCGCAATCACGATGGGTTGAGAAATGGTTGCAAATAAATTCTATGAATATTAATTTCTCTTTAATTTTGATTGCTCCAGGTGTTAAAACTTTTTAATTTCAAGTAGAAACAAGCATAATCAAAATATGAATATCTTGAAGTTTATTTTTAAATTGTGAAACATTATTAGTTTTGTCACATACACCAACCTAGAACCAAGTGAGTCAATTTGTGGTTTTCTGATGATATTCTCACATACAATTTGCATCCTATGAGACAAGTCTCTGTTTTATCCTAGATACACCTTCCTCCTTGGGCTGCCACTTTCCACCTAAAAAGTAAAACTGGTAAAGCTTGGGCCAAAAGCTGGGCGCTATAAATTAGTATTACAACTTAAAAGATGCTATGTACCTATGTTTAACAGTGGAAAGAGCACTTCACTCCTCCCTGGACTTGCACTGCTAGGCCTCCCAAGAACGTATCTCTAAAAGACCATTAATGCCACTAGAAAGAGTCGTTTTTAAACTTTTCCTGAGTAGCAATCTTATCAGGCTGGTAATCCCTTCAAACATTCTCTTCTCTTAAGTGTTCCTTCAGCTTACCCCTACCACCTTCCCAAACTGTAGCCCTATCCCCTCACCCTCCCCACTTCTGACCCCTTCCATCCCTCCCACTTGGCTATTTTATCAGCACCAACAGGTACTTCCTAATATACTACTAACCACTGACATTTGTGGATCCAGTTGCTGTTCTAACATGCTTACAAGTATTTTTGAGGTAGAACCCTCACAACAACCCTCTTAGGCAGTTACTGTGGTTATCCCTATTTTACAGATGAAGAAACTGAGATACAGAGAGGTTAGGGAACTTACCCAAGGTTACACACTTAGTAAGGTCCTAACTATGTAACAGTGGCCTTTACGTTTCACTCTGAGTTCAATTATATGAACCTTGCTCCCAGTTTTAAGTCAGTGGAATCATGACTAACCAAAAATGGATTATCAATTTATTTTTAAAACTTTGATTTTTTTTTTTAATATAGTAGTATTACTCTTAAAATAATGATGCTGTTTACATTTTGGAAAAGATAAAGTGTAATCATTCCTGTTAAAAAGGAGATACTGAAGGGACTTTTATGTTAGGTAGAACATAGGAAAGCAATAGGAAGCATTTGAGTAAAGTCCCATTTTTTTTCTCCAACTCTGGGAATCTTCTTTCAGTTCAGTTTTTCATCTTCATTAATTAAGTTCCTGGCCCAACACTGTCTACACTACCTTAGAAGTGACCTGTGCTGAGGGACATCCCAAGATGACAGCAACACCAAGCACAGAGGACAACAAGAGTAGGTCAGAAAGCTCCAGAGTTACTTTCATTTTGGTTCTCCCACAAGTAGTACCCAAGATAAAGTGCAAGTAGTTCAAATTGAGAAGTGACCCCCAGAAACACTGTAAGGAAGGAAAGGATGCCATCACAAGGTACATTATCAAGCAAGTTACCACTGTGAGTAGCTGGAACTTAATCTCACTGAGAAACTCAAGGAACAGTTTTAGATATATGCCTCACAGTTATACTGTCTACAGTGTGAAGAAGTGGGGTATTTATCTACTAACTTCCACTAATCACTGGGTGAAGGCTGTTCCTGGAGAACATGAATTCCTGGCCTTTCCCTGTGTGTAAGTAGAGCAAGCTCCAGTGAAAAATAAAGTTCTGTGAGACAGATCACAGCTGCTGACAGTTGGGAGTCAGGAGAAACTAAGTGCCAAGGAGTTATGTATGGGTAGGGCAGTAACAGTATATGCAACATAATGTGACCTCTTGGAGAAGACATATTATCAGTTGGTCTGAATATGTTCAGATTTAGACAGAGGGCAGAACTGATGATAGATGAATATTAAGCAAATGAAATAACCAAACAATGACTCCAAAGAGAGGAAAGAGTTGAACCAAAAGGGAAAACAAACTGTAGATTACTACATAGCTCTGCTGTGATTAGCTTTTGTGTAATCATAATATTATATACACTGACTGTTGAGCTAATAAAAATGATATTATAACTACATTAGGAAGATAAGCAAGAAGGAAAGGTGGGTGGGTGTGAGGACAGGTTTAAGAGCTATACTGCAGAATTACACCCTCCCCTCAGTTATTAACATGGTTAGGATCCAAACCAGGTTGTTATGCAAAAATCATAATCATACAAAAATTGAGGAAGACTATACTATTATGTAACTGCCAAATCACTGAGAATCATAGCCCAGTAAAGCTGACACATAATCTTAACCATCACAGCCAGTCTCACACCCTAGCATTCATTATGCCAGATGTACATCGTTAATATGAGAGTTGATGGTTTGTTTTTTTTCTATTGTCATAAACGAACTGTTGGTTAAAGGGATAGTCGATAAGTGAGGACAGCGTATACTTGAGTCTTTCAACTATGAGCACATAGAAGTAAACAGAAGGAAAAACCAGTGCCACCCAAGACAGGGTCTGTTTCCCCACCCTACCAGGTACCAAGTATAATAATGATAATGGGTCACCTCTGTTACAAAAAACACTTGGGGCCAGTATGCTGAGAAAACTGCTTACAGACAACAAACCCACCAGCCACTCCTCGGAAGGAAGGTTGGGCAATCCTACTTCCGTAGTGATACTGCCTCGGAAACCCAAGGAGGGGTCGCTATGAGT